AATAATTAATATCATTAAATAAAAAAATTTTAAAATTAATATTTTTAAATAAAAAATTATAAAATTAACATTTTTATTTATATCCATTCATTTTCGTTGAATGGCTTAATTAAAATGTCTTGTAGCTAAAATGTTTGATGGCCAAAGAAAGAAATAAAAAATAAATAATTAATATCATTAAATAAAAAAATTTTAAAATTAATATTTTTAAATAAAAAATTTTAAAATTAACATTTTTATTTATATCCATTCATTTTCGTTGAATGGCTTAATTAAAATGTCTTGTAGCTAAAATGTTTGATGGCCAAAGCGGGCAGAGTTTTCAAAAAGAAAACATTTACTACTATTTAATTTCATAAACAAACAAAATGAATAATGCTGTGGGACCCCCCACTTTTATTATTATGCAAAATTGGTCCCGCTGTTATTATTATCCAACAGTGTTGGAGTACCATTGGCTCCACAGAGCCTAGTCACGGAATCTTTTTCTTAGCGATAAGCTCGCCACTAGCGATCCGTCCTTTCATCCGCCACGTAATTTTCATGCTTTAATCTTTTTATAAACGCGAAATATCATATATCGTTGTAATATATCGCGAAACACTATGAATCTCGCGATTTCTCAAGACACAGCTGTCCCCCAAAACCAGAAACAGCCAATAAATTATAACTAGGCGAATTTTCGTCCCCCCTTCACAGCACAAAACCGCTACGCGGTTTCTGAATACCGCTCTTTTCTCCCTCTTTCAACTTCCCTCTATAAATACGTTCTCTTCCTCGTTCCTTCACAGGGCTGAGGAAAAACACTCGGAAGTTCAAAACGAGAACTGTTTTCCGATACCGATCGCCGTTTTATTATTTTTTAATCTTGAAAAAGTTTGGGAGGAAACTGTAGAGAGTAGGATTTGAGGATGAATCACCTGAATCGTGTGTGGATGGCGGCGAGTGTGGCTGTGGTGCAGCAAAGCCACAGCGACCAGGGCCATAAATGGAAATCCGGCGTCAAATGTGTCCAGCACGGGAAGAGGAGGCTCTTCGGTGCGGACTCGTCGGATCTGAGACCGATCTCCGGCGTGATAGGATCGGATCTCACCGGAGTGATCGGGAACTGTGAATCTCAAGCCGACGAGTCGATCCGGCAAGTCATGTTCTTGAGTTGCTGGGGCCAGAGCTAGATCTCTCTTTCTTCTTCTCCCTCTGATACGCGAGTGCTGAACTTGTAAAGTTGTTGTGGAAATGACCGGAAAATTGTGAATATTGAACAGAGGATGAGAATTGAGAAATGTTTTAATGCGTAAAAACTGTAAATATTCGATCAACTGTGATTTCTATGTTCAGATTTTTTCGTTTTCGAGAAAGATTTTTATGTTCAGACTTTGTTGTTCGTCAAGATAACTATTATTCTTTTTGTGAATTCAACATCATCAGCGCAGCAAAATCTGAGGCAATCCAAATCGTAAATAGAGAAATCCAATTAATCAGGATAAAATTAAGATTTAGAAATTAGTTTTGAGTACAAGCGTAGATTACAAGGACGGGAGCCATACGGCTCCTTGAAATGAAACGTAAATCTCCTGTGAGTTCTTCTGAGGTTAAGGGGTTTTATTTCCCATCAATTGACCTAGTCATGTCCTCGGCTGTCTCAGGTTGAATAAAAGGCAAAGAGATCTGACTCCTCCCTCCTCCATTTCCCTTAAATCGAACAGACCTTGGGTTTGGATTAGTCGCTAGAAAACCGACTAGCCACAGCATCATCTAGGAGATTTAAAGTAATCCGAGAGCAGTTCAAAAGATGATGAAGATCAAATTTCTTATTAATCTACCAAGCAATGAACCTAATTACTTTCTAACAGGGAGAATTCAGAAGAAAAGGATCACCTGACCGGTTAATCAAATAGAAATTCAAATTCTTTCTCGAATTTCTTTATTTATCCTCCTTCTATTCGGGCTGCCACGGCCACGGCGATGCAATGTCGACGGCGGCAATATATCTGAACTAAATTAAGATCAGACGATTGTTCTTCCATATTCCATGGTGCTCCGGAAAGGACCCGGTTTGGAAATCGGGTGACCCATAAAGGGGGAGCGGCCCAGACCAAGATATTGCGCTCCATGTGGGCCCCATTGTTGTTGTAAGGAGGGGTATTTTTTCTACTTTCCCATAAAAGTATCTTTAAACTAACTGTCACGCACTTTAATAATTTTAAAGCACATACAAATTGGTTTAGGATATTTAATAAAATTAATTTTTTTAATATTAATTTTAAGATTTAAATTTTAAATTAAATTTATAAAATAATATTTTTTTGAATAGTAAAAAATTTTAAATTAAATAAATATAATATAATATGAAATAAGAAAATGTAATAATATATATTAAGAGTAAATTCAAAATATTTTTAAAAAATTAATTATCTAACTATAAAGAAAATACATATTAATTTTAATTTTTAAAATAAATTAGACTTTTATTTTTAAAGATGATATTTTATTTAATTAAAATTTAAAATTTTACTTTATTAAATATTAATATGTAAATTTAAAAACTGATTATATTAAAATATATTTTTAAATCTAAATATTAATATTTAATAAGATAAAATTAAAATTTTAAATTTTAAATATAAACTAAGATTATTATTTTTTCTAAATTAAGAATAATGACACTATTTACTATAAATATATCATATTATAAATTTATATAAACACCTAATATTATGAGAATATAATTTTATTTGCTGCCATAAATCACCGAAATCCAAACTATATATCATTTTTGTCAACTTCAATGTTTTTTCTTCACTAATTAACCTTTAAATCAAATCGGAGCGGCACATCAAAAAATGAAAAAAAAAATAATAATAAAGAATAATCAAATCGGAGCGTCTATAGTAGCCGTTTTATAATCCGACGGCGGAAATTTCCCCAACACCGCTTAACGTCTAGATTTTTCTCCAACGGTCATATTTCTAAAACATTAGGAAATGTCCTTCATCAAACATTCAACGTATATCAGCTCTCCCTCTTTTTCAATCTCCTTCTCCTCAAGAACACACAAGAAACACTCACTGAAATCTTTCGTTTTTTTTTCCCTCTCCAAGAACTCCGGTGATTTTCAAATATTGCTGATACCCAGAAGGGAAAGATGAGTATTCTCCAATACCCAGATGCGTTTAGAGCGCCGGAGCTCCAGATTTGGGAAAATGCCGCCTTTGACAATGGGGAGTCGGAGGATTCCAGCGCGATCAAGGGTTCCTGGTGTAATGTTGAAGCTGTCTTGCTGAATCGCTCGCTTGAATCTGATGGCAGTAAAGAAAATCAAAGCCCTGAGTCACAGAAATCCCTTTTTTCTCTCAAATCTTCCACGCCCTTCAAGTCTCTTTGCCCAAATAATGCGATCGGAAACTTGGAGAAGCCGTCGAAGCGTGTTATTGAGTCACGACCGGCGAAGTCGAAGACTGTAGTTGGGAAAGATGAAGATAAAAAGCGTGATGAGAGGAAAATTGATATGGAGATCGAAGAGATTGAGAAGGAGATCAGTCGGTTGTCAACCAAACTCGAGGCTCTGCGTTTCGAGAAAGCTGAACAGACTGCAAGAAATATGACAATGAAAGGAAGAATTGTGCCGGCGAAGTTTATGGAGCATAAACAGAGTGTCAAGAATTCCGATGCGGTGAAAAGGTTTGAGGATCCTCTGTTTTCGAATTCCAGAACGAAATTAAATCGTAGGGGAGTCAGTTTAGGCCCATCAGAGATTTATTCAGCAACGAAATCCAGGCAATCTATGAAGCAAGAATTCGCTACCCCTGTTCCGTCAACACAGAATCGCCGGAAATCATGTTTTTTCAAGCTGCAGGATATTGATGAAGGAAAGGTGACAAGAGAGAGAGGAAAGAGCTTGAGTCTTAGCCCGAAATCACGCAGAACTGTGTCAAAGGTTCAGGCTGCAAAGCAAGCGGCAACAACGGTGGGATCCAAAAGGTCTATGAAGAAGGAAGATGGAGTTCTTGCTTCAATTCAACCAAAGAAACTCTTCGGAGAAAAATCAGCATCAGTCAAAAAACCCCTGAAACCTGGCAGGATCGTAGCGAGCCGGTATAGTCAGAATGTGACACAGAATGATGCCAGAAAGAGATCTTTGCCGGACAATGATAAGGAAGAGAGAAGTCGGTGCGAAAAGAGACGGATATCTGGCGAAAAAGCTAGTAATTCATGCCATACCAGAAAGAGCGAGAGCAGAATGAAGAAGAGGTGGGAAATTCCCACTGAAGTGGTGGTGTTCAATGGTGAAGTGGAAGCCGAATCTCCTCGCACTGAAACTAAGGTAGGTAGTTTACTACCGAAGATTAGGACCCTCAGGTGTATTGCAGAGAGTCCCCGTGACTCCGGTCCGGCAAAAAGGGTGGTGGAATTGATGGGAAAGAGATCATACTTCTGCATTGATGAGGAAACAGAGGTCTCTGTTTGTCAGTCTCTCAGTTTTGCTGAGGAAGATGCTGAAGAAGAATGTTGATTGTTTGGCTTCTGGGATTGCTATATGGATTTCTAGATTTGGAGCCATAACTCTTGTTATGGGGTTTAAGAATGGTTTTTCCCTTTTTCCGTGAATTGGCATGTAAGTTCATGATTTTCAATGTCTCTGTTATGCAATAATAAGAATGATAATGATAATGGTAGTAGTATTGTTTTCAGCATAGTGCTTCCTCGAATTTAATCTCCCTTCTCCTCAGCCTGCGACAGCCACAGACCGGCCCCGGCGACGCAATGTCGACGGCGGCAGCAATGAAAGAAGAAACGTTCTTCTTTGTTTCATGGGGCCTCCTGAAAGGATCCGGTTCGGAAAAATCGGGTTAACCCATGGACATGGAGCGACCCATGTGGGTCCACAGGAAGCAAATGGTGTTTTTTATTTTGGTGAAGACAGGAAGCAAATGTTTCATATAATAAAACCCTAAATCACTAAACCTCAAAAATCCCTTCACCGGCAGCCGAGGACTTGGCAGAGGCAGACACCAAAACTGGAAATACCCAAAGCTCTCTATGCGTCAGATATTTCATTTTCTCAATGATGGCTGCTTCACGTTGCTTTGAGATTTTCCTTAGATGCAGAGGCAAGTTCAGTTTCAGTACAGGTTCCATTCCAGGTTTCGGCAATCGCTTCAATGTAAGCGGAAAGGAATTACTTTTTAGGTACCCAATATTGCATTTTGTTTGATTTTAATTAAGAACTTTGCCTAAAGCAGCAATTTTTATTCTTTGCTAGATTGACAGGAAATCCAGATAGAGGAAATTTGGTAATTTGGAAGGAAAAAATTAGGAATTTAAGATTTGAGTCCCAATTTGAATTTT